AAATTCCTTTTTTTAAAACCAGTAAATAAATGTTCCCTGTGCAACTTTATCATGTTGAACTTCACTTTACGCAGATGATGCACAGCTTCCTGCTACAAATACTCTCTGCTGTTTCACCGTTATCAATAGTTAGTGAAAGTATAAATAAGCAGACACACAGATGTAAAGTAGAAGGACCAAAGCTGCACTCAGGCGTCCCTGTCAACATATTAAAGAACAACCCAACGTTTTAAAAGTGGGACCATCCTACCACAGTTCCACTCGTCGGAGCTGTCTGAGCAGTGCTTCTTTCCATCACACCACAGAGTGCGATGGACACACTGGTGGTTGTTACAGGAGAGCTCGTTATCCCTGCACACCGCTGAGGAAATATGAATACATATCATTAATAATACAGTCAGGAAGGTGATTGTTCGCCCAGAACAAAACATAATGACATCAGGGAGTCTTACAGCAGTTGGTCTCGTCCACCAGCTGGGGGCAGTCTGGGAACCCATCACAGATCATACTGGCTTTAATGCAGACTGTGCTGCCGGGACACTCCCACAGAGCACGCTCAGAGCAGCCTGACGCACAGAAAGGTGAGATCATGACCTGCTGCACTAAACTGCTGAAGCGTTTGTCTGGATGAGGCCGCAGCGGCCTCGATGACTCACCGCAGTTGTCCTCGTCGCTGTGGTCGTCACAGTCCAGGTGTCCGTCGCAGCGTTTGCTTGCCAGCACGCAGCGACCCGACCTGCACTTGAAGTGGCTCGGAGAGCACTCTGTCGCCACGGAAACACACATTAAACAGAAGATTTTAGTTTGAGGAGCAGAAAGTTTCAGCGATCGTCGGGACAAACGGAGCGTACCGTCGACGCCGGCCTCTGGCAGCAGGCAGGTTGTGTTTCCTCCCTCCTCTGGAAACTGACTGCAGTCTGAGTCTTCCGGCCACTGCAATCCCACAATGCTGAGCACCGACTCACACTTCTCCTTTGCACTGCGACACAACGACCTGCAGGGCGAGAGGGCGAGGACAGAGTGAGAGAAGGAGCGAGGAAAGGAATAAAGTGATGATGAACTAGCTGACGGTGCGCTGACCTGCAGGGCGGCACCCTCTGCAGGCTGACCGGGTCACACTTCGGTACCAGCAGCGTGCAGGCGTAGAACATCAGGTACTGGTAGCAGCCGGTCTGGACCAAAGCGGGGAACAGAGAGGACTCCCAGGACACGGAGCTCTCTCTCTGGGACAGGTGACCCAGGTAGTTGGGGAAGCTGGTGAGGTTGTAGGGCAGGTTCATACACAGCTCCAAGCTGATTGGCTCACAGCGAGCTGGGACACAGAGCGCAGAGTGAAGACTAATACTCACTTTCACCCACATAATGCGACACGACTAACTTCCATTTTTAGGTTTAAAATACATCCAAGCATGAATCAAGTTCAGCCTGTAAGTTAGAAGGTAATTACTTTAAAATATCAAAATAAAAGCTGAGAAGTAAAAAGAAGTCATGTAGGAATATGTGAAAATGTAATTTTAAGTGTGTGGGGACTGATGAGACCACTTCCTCAGGAGCTAAATGTTTCTGCTTCAT